CCCCCCCCGGTGGGGGCTCAGATTCACAGCCCAGTGTGAGAGCAGTGATCCCATCCAGCCCCCAAATGGCTTTCCTGGGAGGGCACTTGCTCCAGGCACAGCTTGAAAGTGGGGCCACGTCCTGCTGCAGAGCCAGCCCAGTCCAGCCCTGGCTTGTGGAGGGAGGGCCAGCAGCAAGGGGTCTGGAGACTGTGGGGAAGGGTCCTGACACTTCTCACCCTAGCCTTCAACTCAGGCTCCCCCCCACCAGGCTCGGCCTCCCTGGGCAGCACACCCTCCCCTAAAAGGACTCTCAGAGGTTGGTGGGTCTCTGGCATCGCAGCCCCATCACTTCACGAGGCAGTGGGCTCCTGTGACTCCCTGGTGCCAGGCAGGGTGGATAAAAATCAATGATTTTTTTAAAATAAAAAAATCATTTTTTTATTTAAATCATTTTTTTTTCATTTAATCATGATTTATTTATCTTTTTTGTTAAGATGCTTTTTGAAAAAAATAAATCACAACTATCTTTACATATGTTCATGTTAAAGCTCAAAGATATCATCATGGAATGGGGATTATAACCTCTAATTATATACTATTTGAGACAATATATTTATGTAAGCTTTTTAGAAAAGTTTTATAAATAAGTCACAACAGGCCATGGATGATAATAGGGCCCCGATTTTATGAGGTTCCCAGAGGCTCCTGTATAGACTAGTGAAGATTAAAGAAAACCACTCTACCCCAGTGGGACTCAGTGCTCAGTCCAGAACAGGCGTGGGCAAAATACTAGGGCTGTGCGAAATTTCGCTGACCATTTAATTCCAACACTGTTTCGACCAATTTTGAGGTTGAAATGGCAAAATCAGAACAAAACAAAGGCTGTCAAAATAGCCTCAAAACAAAATGAGGCTTGCTGAAACATTTCGAAAGTCGCAAGGTCTGGCAGGGGGTGGGGAGGCAGTCCAGCTGGGCTGCCTCACCATCCCCCACGCTAGATCCCACGGGGGTAGGGAAAGCAGCCAAGCTGGGCTGACTTCTGCCTCCGGCGCAATCTAGTGCAGGGGATGGGAAAGCAGCCCAGCTGGGCTGACTTCCAATCCCCAGCAAAACTCAAAACAGCATCAAAACAGCCTTTCTGTTTTGACGGAATGGAACAGCTGTTTCAACTCGAAATGAAATTCGATACAAAACACTGTTCGGTCAAACCGTTGAAACTCAAGATGAAACAGAACGGTGCCATTTCTCACAGCCCTACAAAATACATAGCTGTGGAAGCAATACGTAAATAGGAAGCAAAAAGAAGGTGCAGGGTAACCTAGGGCACCTTTTAGCACTTGGGTGGAAGTGCAGAGAACAGTGCAGAGCCCATGCCCAGTGGGGCACACTGGGCAGGGTATGGGTATGAGGGAAAGTGGGGGGTGTGGGGACCCCCAAACACTCCCCCCATGGCGTGCAGCCCCCACTGCTGGCAGTAGCAGCAGCAGCAGCTGGCGGGGGGCTCAAGGCACTGGCAGCTGGCAGCATACACCATACATACATGCACACATACACACACCATACATACAAGCTAAGACTTTCTTTTTGAATTATTATGCAATCACCTCTATACAGACTATACAAACACAAATCGTGACAAAAATATGTTTTTTTGTCCGCTTTGGTGGACCTGGTCCTGGCCACAGGGGATGACTTAGTGAGAAGACCACAGGTCCTTGACCACCTAGGCAATAGCGATCATCACCTGCT